TTTAGCGTGTCCATAACTTCAATTTAGATTCAATGATTTAAAATATAATGTCGACTGACTCTGTCAATCACATCAGCATAAGAAGTTCACAGTTCATTCGATTATTCTATAATTACAAGCTTTCAAATTCCAACCACCCGCTCATGGGTTGAATGCCATGATTAAGTGAGCACGGAAAAATATAAGGAGAGTGACTTACAAGGAACTCCTCAAAATATGGTTAAGATAAACGAGAAGCACAAAAATTACATAATTCACCTAAAGTCTTTAGGAACTTTTTTAACATAAATTTTCTTAAAAAACGACCATATTTCCATTTTTTTTAAAAAAAATTCTCACTCCATCCGTCGAAGCACTATTGACTATAGAATTTTCTCTTCTTTCTTTTTTTCCATAAAGTGACCATAGAATTATTGAAAAGAGGTAATTATATAAATGATTATGAAACATTCAACGGGAAAAAATTATCATTTGCAGCATTCTTATTACTCGGTTATGAAACATCATGTGATTTCTATTCCCTTTAATGGCTTGCAGAAATCACAGAATGCTGCATTTTGTATGTATACTTTAACTTTCATCTTGCACCCATCTTTCATGGAACAATCGAGTCACTGACCAACACATTTTGAACTGACTTTTTGGGACTCAAATTACCGAAGAGGGAATTATATTGACTGGAACAAGGTTGCAGATCGTGAAGACTTCTTCAACCGATCATTAAATGAGCCTAACTAATTCATTCCCTCTCCTTCAATGCAGACAAACCAAATCCCATGACCCCACTTGAGGTAGTTATATGGTGATAGTATATTGCTTTGTTGGCAAAAAAAAAAAAAAATCGTTTTAACATTTTATCATGTTATATTTTTAATAATAATTGGAAATTGGAATCTGGTTATCATATCAATTTGATGTCAATTTATTTAGGATTATGTGGCATAATAATAATTAATAGTTTAATTAAACATATTATTTTCCCACTTATATGTTTTATATAATTATCTAGCATTTGATTATATGGGTAGTCAGATTCAAATATTGCCAAATTCAATTAAAAATATGTAGCTCTATCAACATGAATTCCCCCCCCCCTCAATATTTGAACTTTTGACTTTACTTAAGGATGATCAAGTCTCTTCTATTTAATCCAATCACTCTTAAGTTTTTCCAACTTATAATATTCTGATCTTTTGTACTGTTGTGCATATGTTGTATTAAGTAGGAGTATTCATGGGCAGGGTAGGATCCATACCCAATGCCGAGCTCAAATGATGAGTGTGCTGTATTTTGCAACCTACTACCCGACCCTACCCAATAAAAACCCTAGCCATTTTGGGTTGGGCTAATGGGGGTTGAGCAGGGCGGATGTTTCCTGCCCAAGTGATGACACTCTATTCATACTATATGTGAAAAAAAATCCCCAATTTAATTTATATTGTAATTTAAAGGGAAAAAAATATAATATATATAACAGAAAGATCAAATGGTGCTTCAGGTCAAACTTTACGGGCGAGGTAAGAATTCCTCAATTAGCATTTATGTGAATGATAATAAAATATAATATATATAATTTTTGAAAATATAATATAATAAAATCAATACTAACACAAAAAAGCTATCAAAATCAAACCGACAGAAAGTATGAAATTTGGCTTTACCTCCGTATTCCATTTCATATTCATATCAGTTTCAAAAATCATAATTTTATAATATATTAATATTATAGTATATAATATATATGATCATATATATATAGTTGGCAAAATATAATTATATATATATTTTGGCCAAGGCCAGATAGGCAAGGCAACATATCATGCCCAATGCCTTGCCTATAATTAACTCGGCCAGAAAATGTCCATTTTTCTTTAGGCTTCTTTTTTATTGACTGGGTAGGGTATTTTTTTCTCAGGCTTGAACAAGCACACCGGATAACTGGGTCTCATGAACGAATGCTGGGGCCTCATGAACACCCCTAATATTAAGATAGATTATGTTATTTTGAACCATTTGTGAAATGACAGAAGACAATATAATTAAAGAGTAAAACCAAAAACTCATGAAACTATGCCAAATAATCTAATTTAAATAAAACGTGTTGAGAAAATTCGATTCCCCATAGCTTGTATTTAATAATGAAAGCACTACAAAAAAATAGACTTTAGGCGACGACTTTCGGCGACGACACCAAAAAGTCGCCGCTGAAGAAAGTGGACCTTCAGCGGCGACAAAAGTGTCGCCGCTGAAACGTGGACCTTTAGCGGCACTTTTTTTGTCGCCGCCGAAAGTGGACTTTCAGCGGCGACTTTTTTTGTCGCCGCTGAAAGTTCGCCATTGAAACCAAGACTTTCAGCGGCGACTTTTGTCGCCGCCGAAAGTGGACTTTAGCGGCGACTTTTTTAGTCACCGCCGAAAGTTGGACTTTCAGCGGCGACTTTTTAGTCACCGCCAAAAATTCGCCGCAAAAAAACCAAGACTTTCAGCGGCGACCTTTTTTGTCGCCGCCGAAAGTGGACTTTCAGCGGCGACTTTTTTAGTCACCGCCGAAAGTTCGCCATTGAAACCAAGACTTTCAGCGGTGACTTTTTTTGTCGCCGCTGAAAGTATAATATAATAATATATATTTTATTTTACAATATTAATAAACAAATTCAATCTGGCTCAGCGGCAAGAAGGTTGGACACGAAAGGAGGCGGTCACGAGTTCGAATCTGGAAGAAGACACATTTAAGGTGAAAATATTTAGATGATGACGTGGCGAGGAGGAGTGATGTGGCAATGACGTGAAGGTGGCTAGTGATGATGTGGCGGTCGGCGGTGATGACGTGGCCGCCGACGGCGATGACGTGGAGGTCGACAGTGCTGACGTGGCGGCCGGAGACGATGACGTGGCACCGGCAGTGATGACGTGGCATTGGTAAAGGCAATTCTTCTTAGGCATTACTTTCAGCGGCGACAAAAAAGTCGCCGCCGAAAGTGTTTTCTGCGGCGACATTTGTCGCCGCTGAATGTTCTTCTAAAAGTCGCCACTGAAAGTATCTTTTAGCGGCGACCTTTTTTAGTCGCCACTAAAAGTTTTCAGCCACAGCTGCTACGGCAACGACTTTTCAGCGGCGACTTGTCGCCGCAAAAAACTTTAGGCGGCGACTTTTGTCGCCGCTGAAAGTCAATTTTTTTGTAGTGAAGATTTGCCACAAAATCATCTCTCATAATTTGAGGAAGGTTTAACAACAAAATTATCCCACATCAATCAAATAGCCAAAATTAATTCAAAACTCTATATACAGTATATAACACGAATCAGTTAAAAAAAAAAAACAGAGATATGAGACAAGTGAACTCTAGTTATCCCACCTCAATGTCTCATGCTCTCATTCCCCCTCATCCTGCAGGGATTTGGATTTTTCTCCATTTTTTCCATGCGTCTCTTAAAATACATAATCACATCCGTTCATTTGATTATTCATTTAACCTAATGGTTGTTCATTTATATATTATCACTTCAATACTTGTAAAAATAAGATATGCTTGTTTATGGTATTAGTTAAATGAGTAGTGGAAAGAAAGTATGGAGAGGAACTAAGTTTGTAACTATATTTTATCTCTCATTATTTGAATTATTTTCTCCCCCCAATGATATAATAATGGGACCTAGTGAGTGATATATATACTGAACATATTTATCATTTGCTCTTTAATTTCTCCATATTGAGCTTTTCTTCCTACATATGTTTTCATTTTACTGTGCTGACATGAAAGTACTTATACACACAAGATAGAATAAGAACAACAAAAATATATGAAAATGATTGAAACCTTTTTCTTCGTACATAGGAATCGGAAACCTCGGGTCTTATATTTCAATTTATTAATTAATTATGAATTTATTAATACCACCCCTATCACTAAATACTATTACTTCCGGTCCTAATTATAAAACTTTATTTATATAAATAAATGAGGCTTTAGAATTAAGAGCTGAGATAGTACATTATTAATTCCAAAAAGTCATCAAATGGGCCGGTGCTACGTCCCACACATACACACACGCGTGAAAAAGAAAAAGAAAAAAGAGAAAGGAAAAGAAAACGACCAAAAAAAAAATAATCATAATAAAAGACTGTCTTGTATGGCTCTCATGTCTCTCTTCTTTCATCACAGTCCCAAATCATGTTCACACACTCCCAAGAAGCACCATATAAACTATAAAGCCCCGAAAGCCAAACTAGGGTTTTCCTCCCCTCCCCTTCTTTATTCTATTCTCTCCTCCTCCTTTATTTTCCCTCTCTTCTTTTAGCTTTTTTTATTGATCCAAGAATATCAGGCTTCGATCATAATCAATCCCATTCCTTTTCACTTTTGCTAGCTAGATTTTTTCTGCTCATCATCGAATCGAACTCTAATCTTTAACGTTATATATACTCACATATAAGGGCAAGTTCATGCATATGTGATCTCTCTGTGTATGTGAATCATAAGAATCAATAGCAGAAAGTTAGCTAAAGTGGATCGAGATCATGGAAAGAGATCAGGTTCTTGCGAAGAAGCGCAAGAGAAAGAGGAGGATCACTTGTTCCCAATTTACTCTGATCGTTCTCAGCAAGATATGTCCGCCATGGTTTCTGCCCTTGCTCAGGTCATCGGGGCTTCCCCTAATGCTTATCAGGATCCTTTAACTGAGTCGACTCAGCCCACTTCTGAGCCTAATAACACTCAACAATATCTTCAAGCACTTCAACATCATCAAGGTATATATGTTCATATTTACCTTTGCCATATATGTCTACTTCGCATGCGGATATCGTGTGTGATTCTTTTTCCTAATTGGTCTTGTTATATAATAATTACATTCATATTCACTGATTCAGTATGAAACACGGATGAAAATTGGCGGCTAGGGCTGTCTATTTATGACTTCAATTAGTTTCTCTGTTCATATTTGCATCTTCTACATTAAGTATCCTGTCTATTTCTTAGCCATCATCTATGTTGTCTCTGTTTATGTTTCTGGAATTTTTTCCCCTCTCGCTCTTCAATGTGTTCAGATAAGATCTTCATCTCATATCATGAATTTTCTTTAATCCCCGACGTGGCTCCTTCATATCCATCTATTATCTCATCATATGAAACTTGCAGACAGCTTAGATTTTTTTTTTTAAAGAATATTTGTGTGATGCAACTTGTTCTCTTTCCCAAAAATGGTGTTCCTTTTTCTTAATTATGTCTTTGATTTCGTCCAAAGCTAACAGTTTCTCTCCCATCGCCTTATTGTTTCTCTTCCTCTACGGTACAGAGATCGATCAATTAGTTCACCGGTTATTCTATACCAGTGTCCAAAAAAAGGGTCAAAGTTAGGTCAAGTTCTATAAATATTTTACCATTCTAGTTTACCCGTTCAATCACTCAAGCATTTTAATTAAGCAGTTGCAAAACAAAATCAACTTTTCGTCACAGTCATACATCATTAATTTTTCCTCCTTTTTTGCGGGGAGGGAGTTATGTAAAATAATGAGAAGTCTACTTCACTTAATTGCAGATATTAATTATCTCTGTAAATGTTATAGACAATTACTTCTGTGATTGTAGATGAACTGAACTGTTACATAAAAAATCTATAACTGGCCCTATATATATATATATATATATATATATATGTTAGTGTAAACTGTAAATATATATAGCTCCAATGTTCGTGTGTGTGTGTGTGTGTGTGTGAATGAATGTGAACGGTGCAACTTGGAGCTTTAGAAAGCAGATGAAGTGTTTCAGCCATTAGGCTTAACTGATAAAAGTTAGTTCACTAAATTTGAGTAGATTAAAAATTTTTGTTAAGTTAGTTATTTGTAATAAACAGGTATTGTCTTTCTTAAAATACCGTTGTTAATCATATGTATTAGTTAGAACTAATATTTGATGAAATTTTTAACATGTGTAACTACTACAAGGACCACTTTAAAAAAATAGATAAATATGAGAGACACGATGGACTGGATTCTTATATTTAGAACCAAATTGAATATCAAACTAATTCTTATATTAAAGACCGAAAGCTGTATCAAACAACTCCTTAAATTTTAGTTTAAGTAAGAGGTTGAGTTTAATCTTCTATATATGAATATGATGGGTGCGTGAGTTTGTTTTGTTGGGTGAAAGATGATTGGAAAAAAAAAGAGAAAAAAAAGAAGTAGATGAAGTATTTAGGCCATTGCATTTGAGAGTACTTACGTGGGTATGTATATGTCGAAGAGAGCACAAGGAAGAGACACTACAGAGGGGTAAGACAAAGGCCATGGGGGAAGTGGGCGGCTGAGATTCGTGATCCCAAGAAAGCCGCCAGAGTTTGGCTCGGAACCTTCGACACTGCAGAGGCCGCCGCCCTTGCTTACGACGAAGCCGCCCTCAGATTCAAAGGAAGCAAAGCTAAGCTCAACTTCCCTGAGAGAGCTCAACTTCAGCCATCACCGTCCATGACGACGACGTCGTTTCCTTCATCCTCAGGTGAATTTTCTTTCCTCACAAATCCTCCTCCTCGTCAACCACCACATGTTAATGTTCCACTCGCCCTTGCTCCTCCCACCGCTGTACCCTTCTCTCCACAACAACCTTATTATCATAATTATTATCAATATCCTCAACATCTTCTGGCAAGTTCTGGTTCGAGTCACAATATGTTTTATAATTCTCCTCAACAACAACAACAACCTTATACGGCTCTGTCTTCCTCGTCTTCATCGTCCGGAATGTCCCACCAACAACAAGAACAAGAAGACCTTCTCACGTCTTCGATGCAATTTGGCGGTCCCAGCTCGTCCTCTAGTTCTCATCCTCCTTCCAATTGGCCATATCATGAATTTGATGGTCAACGTTGACGAATTATTGGATGCTCATATATTTAGGTTCAGTTTTTATATATTTACAATCAGATTTTGTAATATATCCCATGACAGAGAGTCGAAAACAAGAATTTGGATTCCTCTCTGTCGTAAGTTATCCCAAGAAAAAAAAAATCTGATGGTAAATATTTAAAAATTTTACCTAAATTCAATCTACAATGTATAAGCATGCGTGTTGTCCTTTACAACTTTTTGTTATTTTAATTTGTGTGTTAAGTCATTTGGTTTGATGTTATGGTTATTTCTGTTTGATGGTTACATCTCAAGTTGATTATCGATCAATATATCTCCATTTTCCAATGAATTATCCATTCGTTATCCCAAGGATTATACTCCTCCGGTCCTCAATATAGGATCCAATTCTTGAGCTGGTTTTGGTCCTAAATATAAGACCCATTTCTCATATTTATCAATTTTTTCTAAATTACCCATATAGATACTCCTTCAACTGTAATCAAGTAGAAGAGGGAGATGAAGTATTAAAAAAGATGATTATGGTGTTTTAGAAAAAATATGTCATTTTTCTTATAATTAACTAACTTACCTAACTTCCTTAATCTAATCAAATTAGTTAAATGGGTTTTATATTAAGGACCGGAAAAGTATTTCATACGTAGTTGCACTAATTACATCAAATGAATTTAGTTTTATATTTATAGACGTACTTGTGTATAGAGACTCCATTCTTTTACCTTAATTAGGATTTAGTTAATTTATTCTTTTACATTAACTAGGATTTAGTTAATGTGTGTGTGTGTGTGTATAAATCCAATCAATGGCAATCATACTGGAGCATTAGCACCATCAAGTAGCTCGATCATTTATCAAAACTTTTCGCTTTCCCATAAAATTTAGATATATAAGTTGAGCTATATGACTTCACAAGGATGAGGGCAAGTTTCATATATAGCTCAAAAAAAGAGCAAGCAAAAGGACCTAGAAGATATATATTATGTACCATGCTAAAATCATCATAAGAGCTAAACCTTAACTACCAATTTAATTAATATGTAGAAACCGCAAAAGCATTATTATGAAATACGGAAGAGAGATTAAAAGCGTGATTCATTTGGATATACATACACACACAAATACATATGTGTTGTGTGTATTATACAATGTCATATGCATATATAAGATTTAAATTATAGCTTACAAAACTGTCTGGACAGAATGGGATGCTTGAGTGACATCCATGTTTGTGTGTCCATATATATAGAGAGAGAGAGAGCTGGAAATCATACCTCACCTCCCCAAAATAAGCAGAGATACAGTGAAGAAGAAGAAGTTTAGCAAGAGAGAAGAACTGAATACATAACGTACACTTACAGAACACAAAAGAAACGTATCGAAACTCGTATATATTTTAATTTATGTGTACACTTGCTGTGATTTATATATTAGTTCATAACTCAGACACACAAATATATATATTTATATTTATATATATATATATCAGTAAAGAGATTATATTGATGGTTAAGGAAGGTGGTAGAGATAGAGATAAATGAATGAACAAGTGGATATAGAATGAGGTTTGAACACGCAGTTGTGCGGTCTAAAGATACATATGAAAAGGATCATCTGATGCGCAGAGTTTTTAGAAAGAAAACGCGTCTTCTTCATATATATTTATGTCGGCCTTCAGCATTTTCGTTTCTTTCATTACTATCCACCATACCTATCTAGAATCTCCTCTATGCCTCCAATCTCATTATTAAATAAATATCTTAACCCATTTTTCAATTTCATTTTATTATTATTTATTGCTGGAACTTCAAAATGACGTTTTTTTCCTTAAAATATATGTTAATTAATTAATCTCTTGAACCATGCATGTTGACTCAATCAAATTACCAAATTAATTAATTAAAGCCATGCGCGCGCGTGATATATATATCCCTTCTTTTTTTGAAATTTATGAATGATGAGAATTTAATTAAAAATATATATGTACATATTCTCTGTTCGCGGAGAAACTATCAAAATTTAGTGGGTATCAATTATTTGCTATTCCTTCAATCCTAAATATAAAACTCATTTTATAATATAATTTATATTATAAAATGGGTCTTATATTTAAGACCGGAGGAATAATATATACAGATATGTTCTTGTAATTTGAGTTTGTTTGGAAAACTTTTACAATGTGTTTCATAACAAAAAGAAATGCGTCGTGTGTAAAGATAAAGTAAGCGAATCGTTTCTAGGAATTAGTTGCAACAGGAAAAGGAAAGTAGAGAGCTTTAGTGGCCCAACACGTGTATACTTACCATAAAAGCATCCTTTCAAATGATTTTTTTCCCCGGCAATATATATCACCTCAAGATTAATTAAACTGTGTATCAATTACGGGGAAAAACAACATCTCAATCTGTCTAATTATAATTGAAGTAAAATCTGATCTTCAAAATTTGAGTAAGGGGGAAAAAATATATACGTTTGTTCGGACATGCATGTTGTCTAGGGGCGATTCTCTTTATAGGTTTGGACAATTTACCTAATTGATTTGAAATATAATTAAATTAATAGATTGATCCAATAGATATTCAATTTGGTATTGACCACATAGAAATGAATAGATTAAATCCAATTTAATTATACCAAATTCAGATTAAAACTGCGGGTGAATTACGTTGTTTTATTCTAAAACAAAGGAAAAGAACAGCTTGTTTCACGTGGCATTAGCTTATGTGAAATCAAACCCCAAAAAAAGACATGTAGTTAGCTTAGGACCGTTTATCGAATGGAATCAATTATATATATGAGTTGACCCAAAAAAATAGTTGATTGATTATAACCGAGTAACAAGACTAAAACCCAACGAATCTAGTTTTGACCTACGCCTAGCTTTAAATTGAATCTGAATATTAATTGTATGTTAATACTCCTCTGCTTATTGATATAAGAGCTATTTATTTAATTAGAATAAGTTAAGAAAGTTAAATAAATTTTTTGATTGCAATATACGTGACCTAATCTCTTTAAAATAATTTCAGGTAAAAATGATAAATATGCGATGTAAAATGTATTAAAATTTTATATTTCAGACCAAAACTCATCTCCTAATTAGATCATATATTAAGATCATAACAGTATATAAATACACACGATACCCTGGCAATTATTCAAAAATAATGGAGGAATGATTCAGACATTATCGGATGAGACTTTTTTAAAAAAAAAAAAAAATACAAGTATCAACTTGTGAATATATATTATTGAAATTATTATTGGCAAAAAGGATTTCTTTCACAAGTATCAGTAAGACTTGGTCCAATTAGTATGAAATCAGCTTATAACCCACAAGCGTGCGAAGTTGAATCATGATGCTAGTGTGAGGACTATGTTGATATGCGATTTGTAAGTATCTCTATAAGTGCTTTTTGAGTTGGAATTCTATCCTGACCCTAGTGAGCTTCGATTTCTGGACTCAGCTCACATTTTTTGTGTGTTCAGAAAAAAAATGATTTGTTTCGCAAGTCAATGCAAAATCTGTTGGAATGAAATTATTAAGGGAAAACGTCAATTTGGATGAATTGATGATTGGAATACTAGGACTGGATAGTTGAAGATAATGGTAAATAGTAAAGTTGACAAGAGCATGCATGAGGGACGAATAACGTGAAGCATGAAAATACAAAGGAATATTTGGAGCGTAGCAGATTGGTCTCCGAATTCGGCATTGGAGTCAAAGTATGAAGCTCCGTCTTGTCCTCCTCAATATCACAAGACTCCACAGACACTGATTTTGATATTTTTGGTTGTCCTCTTACTATTTAGACTTCTTATGTTAATTTTATTTGAAAACGTAATTCACAAATTTTTTTTTGCATGAATTAATACTCGGTATAAAAAATCAGGGGATATTTTAAGGGTAAGCTGGTAAGAGGGATGATGAATGTGTTGTGACTAGAACTAGTTTTAGTATTTATCATATTGATGAATATCTTGATGCTTATTGCTCTAGTGAGATACACATCATCTAAATATAATTTTAATTGTCTAAATTTAAAATTTTTAATTGATAATATTTAAATTAAAAAATTATTTTTGAAAAATTAACACTGAGATATTGTTTTTATTTTATATTCTATATTCATTAAAAAAAAAAATAAAAGTATAAAAACATTAAATCTAGACCATCCATATTAAATATAAGCAGCATGATGCTGATCACTCTTATGAGTGAAACAATTTCAATGTTTATTGCACTGATGAATACTATGATACTCATCAAATCTCAAATATACAAACTCAAAATGGACGGCCAAGATTTAATATTTAATATTTTTGTTTTTTAAAAAATATTTTTCTTTTAATAGGTGCATAATCCAAAGTAAATATAATTTTTTAACCGTAAGTTTTTTAAAGAAAATAAAAATTTTATTAAAAAATTTTAAATTTAAATCGTTAAAACTAATTTCGAATGATTTGTATTTTATCAGACCGATGAGTATTATAATACCTATCAGTGCAAGTCTGTGATAAAAGACTGAAATTGGCTGCCCCATGGGCGCTGAAAATAGCTGACTTTTTAAATCCATGTTTCTCAGGGAAAAAATGAAATCCCAATTTGGGGTCCGAGCCTTGACCGGAGACCGAGTCCGATGGGGAAGGGTTTGAACTCTTCAAGTCCGCAGTGCGATCCTGACGGCTCTTTTTTTCAACGCGCCAAATTATGTCCCACTTCCAATAGTTCTGACACGTACACGCATTTAAATGGGCAAATTATACATCTAAACTTTTAGGAATCACTAAGTAAACAAGTTTGCATATATAACTAATTAAAAACTTTAACATATCATTAAAAGATTTTAAAATGTAGGAATTAAAAATATTTCCCACCATATATGCATGAGAGGGTTGGGTAGCAACAAATTAAAACTGGTTCACTATATTTTATGTGCTGCTTTGAGAAATCAGTTGGCTCTATTTAATTTGCGATGAATTCTCTAATTGGTTGGAGTAAATGGTCTCTGACCTCTACAATTAAGTCTCCTGTTGCAATAATTATTAACCATATTAACTAAACGCACGTGTTAACAATGGCAACAACCACCGCTCTATGAAATGAAGCCATCCCCCCAACAAACATTGATGAGACGACCCCTTCAAAAACACTACTCATTCATGGCGCCAGGGCTCGTGTTTTTCATAATTAAATCAAGATTTTCAAAACTTAGGTATACAGAGTAATTATAAGATTATTAATATAAGAAAAGGCTAAAGAGATATGAAATGGCGCTTGAAATGATGAGGGGCAAGAAATTAGAAGAGTGCGTGATACGATTATAATGGGAGTGT